ATTTTTTAGTTATAGGTGGACACAATATCTGTATTCTATTTTTATGTGGTGCTGAGGATTGAATCCAGTGCCTCACACATGCCAGGCGAGTGCTCTACCGCTGAGCTACAACCCCAGCCCCTCTAATTCTTAATTTTTATCTGTATTATGCTAATATTTTAGTGTGGCCATGTCCTTATTTGACCCAGTTGACCCACTGTCAGCTTCTTGGTCTCTTTAATGTATTACATGAGTAATTTGGATACCATTTCCAACTTATTTTCTGAACTCTTCACTAAGCCAGTAATAGGAATAAGCTGTTTACTAATTAATACAACCCAAGGGCTAAAAAATATGGGAACATACATAGTCACAGACCATTGAAAAGTAAGGTCAGATGTCCACAAGGTGGGAATCTGCACATCTGTAAACCTGCCAGAGGGAAGCAATCAGTGACAGAGTCGTCGTCACCAGGGCCTCTTCCTAGGCACTGGAGGACCCTGGAGTAGGCCTCTTGGGGGTCCGTCTTCCTTCATTTCAACAGATGTTGAATCAGTGACTCCGTCTGCCTAGGCACTGTAGCAGATGCTGAGGACAGGAGGGTGACATGTTTCCAGTCCTTACAGAATTTATTGTCTGCTGAAGGAGAAAGACACAAATATTTGTGAAATAATCACAGTTCATGTGGTTAAAAATGACTGGTGTCCTGTTCAAGAGCCGTGGGGACACAGAGAGAATAAGGACCATGGCCTGCCCCTTGGGAAAGGCTCCATGGCGGATGGAAATTCCATTTTCTTTTAAACAAACCCATGAACAGGAAAACACTTTGGTTCCTCTCCAAAGCTAATTCAGTAGATGAATATCCGAGATGCGCCCAAAGTGTGGAAAATGAAGGACTTGCTCTCCCTGATATGCACTCCCGTAATGGGGCTGTCACCAGAGCAGGGCGTTGCTGGCTTAGCAATGCATGACTTATGGACCAGAGTCAGATGCTCAAACCGAAGTGCAGACAAGTCCCCAAGGGCCCGGCTGAGATGCAGGTGCTTGTTCCAGAGGTCTGCATGAGAGGGGATAGTCAGGTGCAAGTGGTAGGAACTTGAGGTTGGGGTGTGGTTCCAGAGACTGGGCCCGCTGTGCTGACCCCATTTCACTTTTGAGAAACTGTTTACCTGAAGCCCTGCCTGACCTAAGTCCACAAGATATGATCCACAGGATATGTCACATTCCTCAGCACTACCTGACATCTGCAGGAGAAATGCAGGCCTTGAAATGCTGATAAGAACACAGTTACCCTGAAGCGGGAACTTCTGTGACCTTTACACAGACCAGATCCCGAGCTCAGGGAGATAAGAATTAATTTCTCCTACCCGGAACATCTGAAGAACAGGTTCCAGTTAGAACTGGTGGCCCAGGCCAAAGTCATGGCAGTGGGGACTTGGAACTTTGATATCATCCTGTTGTGAGTCAAAAATCAAGAGGTGGACCTGGGCAGGGCTCTCTGGAAACTTCCCTGGGACCCCCGATAAAACTGGAGGGCAGACCGGGTGCAGTGGCAGGTGCCTGTAATCCCAGGGGCTTGGGAGGCTGAGACAGGAGGATCGTGAGTTCAAAGCCAGCCTCAGCAACGTCGAGGCACTAAGCAACTCAGTGAGACCCTGTCTCTAAATAAAATACAAAAAGGGCTGAGGGTGTGGCTCGGTGGTCAAGGACCCCAGAGTTTGATCCTCAGTGCCAAAAACAAAACAAGAAGCTGGATGGCGGGAGAGGCACGCCCACCTCTCCTCTCTGAGAGGACCCACTCTCTGCCTTGAGAGAGCCCCCTTTCCCTTTTCCTAGCCCTTCTAATAAACTCATCCCTGTCACTCTGAACAACATGTCTGAAACCTTTCTGATTTGATCACAAGAATCAGGGTTTGAAACTTCTGGTGCCTGGGTTTCCTGGAAGGCTTTGTGGCACACTGTGCTCCCGAGATCCCGTGTCCCTCAGTGGATCCTGGTGAGCAGCACGCTGCTCAAGGGCCAGAGCGGATCTCAGGGTGGACCTGCATCTGGCAGACCATGGAGGCGGGGAAGGGGCGACTTATTCCATGGGTCCCAAGCCAGATTCTTTCAGGACTGGGAAATGACACACAGTACATGTGTTGTTTTTGTACTTAAAGAGAAAATCGTGAGAGAGAAAAAACTAAGAACATCCAATGACCCACTTTGCTTTCATTCTTCACGATGTCTTTGGGCAGCTTTATGGCCTCTGGGGTCTGGGTGGACCCACTGCAGCATTTACCTTAGCCAGGGGCTTGGGGCGGGCAGCTCTCAGCAGTGTTGTGGGCTGATTTTTAAGTCATGTGTGACTGTGGCTGGAGAACCCTGCAGGCGTGTTGGCTGTGTACTGTTGACAGGGTCTGAGTCAGAGCTGTTGCTGTCGGTGCTTAACATGGTCTCTCTTCTCCCGTCCCCTTCCCCTCAGGCCTCAACCATGTTGCGAGCCTCCTTGGCACCCGTGTAAGTAATCGCTCTTGGAAAATCTTATTAATGAGGACAGCTAGATGTCAAACTGGAATTCACAGTAGCTTTAATAGACACCCAGCAGTGGGCACTGAGGCAGCTCCCACCAGGTTTGCAGGCTCATTCGCAGGTACCGTTGCTCCCCCGTGTCTTCCCTGGGCCAGGGTTGGAGCCAGAACCTCATGCTACCAGAGTGTCTTCTTAGTTTTCTTGAATTTGAGGCGTTCCTCTGTCTTTCATGGCCTTGACAATTTTGAAAAATCCTGACCTAGTGATTTACAATTGGAATTTGCAAAGTAGCTCTGTTGATTTTTAAATTCAGAATAGTATGTGCCTCCGAAAACAGCATCGAAGCAGCCACGGTGCGCTCCGTGGGCTTCCTGCTGGGTGCCGAAGAGGGGCGCTCCGCCCGCAGCTGCTCATTGAGAGCTCAGCTGTTGCCTTCTCTTCCGGCCCCTTCCATGGAACCTCTACAAGAATCTCCTTTTGTCCAGTGAAAGCTAATCCTGAAAAAGCTGGCATGTCATTTTTCATTGTGTAAGTCACACGAGTTCATTATAGGAAACCAGCATGCCCGGACTCCCTCCTCCCAGAACCGATTCCCCTCCACCCTCAGAACAAGGGCAGCCCTGCATCTTCCCTGTTCTCACCAAACAGGGAAGTGTGTCTCCACTTAATACTGTGTGTCTCCTTTTCCCCCTTGATACTGGAGATATTTTTCTTTTTTCTTTTTCTTTTTTTCTTTTGGTATTTATTTATTTATTTATTTATTTATTTGGTACCAGGGATTGAACCACTGAGTCACATCCCAGCCCTTTTTATTTTTTGAGACAGGGTCTTGCTAAGTTGCTTAGGTCCTTGCTGTGTTGCTGAGGCTGGCTTTGAACTTGTGATCCTCCTCAGCCTCCCAAGCTGCTGGGATTATAGGCATGTACCACCAACCCTGGCTTAGGTTTTTATTTTGAATTAATTACAGATTCACAGAAACTGAGGCCCCCCCATTTCCCCAGTGGTGACTGTGTCTGGTCAACAGGAGGAAGTCGTTTTGGCACTGTGCTGTCACCTACACCACGGGCCTCATTCGGTTCTCTTCATTTTCCCCACTTTCTAACCTTTTGTTCAATAAACCAAAATGTGGAGATACTTGTTTTAGGGACAAGGAGTCTGAAGGGACTGGTTCCTTCTGTTTTTGGCTAAGCGGGGGCAGGTCTTGGGTTCGTCCAAGCTGGGCAGATCTTTAATCAGAGATCTAATCGGACCCCTGGCTTCCCTGGGATCTTTAAACTTGGGGTCCTCTGGGCAGGCTTAGCAAACTGTCCCTCTCACTGTGTGTCCCAGCCCCTCGCTCCCAGTCCTCCACCTCCACAGTGGTCCATCCGGCCCCTGCTCCCTTACAAGTTGCTTCCTGGCCCCTGTTCTATGGTACTCATTCCCCAGGCTTGAGAGGGGCAATGGCTTTGGGTGTGCAGATAAACCCCTCAGGTACTGCTGGTGCTAATAGTCTGAGGGCTTTGCCAGGAATTCTGAATAGAACTTGGATGGAAAATTTAGGAGCCTCCAGGGTGACTTCTCCCCACCACAGGCCTAAGCCTATTCAGGCAGAGGCTCTTCATTTTAGAGAAACCATAACACAAAACCTTGGTCCATCTAACAGAACTGGCCGAGCTGAGCTGGCTGAGTCTGGAGGGCGGGCAGCGGGGCCACTGCTAGTCCCTCTGGCTGATCAGGTCCAGAGCAGGTGTGTGGATGGTCAGGAGGTGTCATTGTTTTTGTCTTTGAACTTGTGACGTGAGTAGGAAACTGAAGGATGTCCCGTTGCTGCCCTCCCTGGATTATGAGAAACTGAAGAAGGATTTGATCTGGGGGAGCGACCGCTTGAAAGCCTTCTTGTTGCAGGCTCTGCGCTGGGTAGGTACCTTTCCCTTGATGTCAGAAAACAAAAAACAAAAGCAAGCCCAGTGCTGCTCTTCTTGGCTGGCTACCATGCTTGTATCTTGTAACCCTTCTACTGGAGATCTTCCTTTCTGCTCCCGATGCCACCAAGAACTAGAGTTCAGAGCAGCTCCTGAGGGCAGCTCTGGCCTTTCTAAGACCCCTACTTTGGCATCACAGTTGCTGTTGCCATCACGCTGTGACGTGACGACGAGCTGCAGTCAAGGCCTCTCCTGGGCGAGAGCTGCCGGCACAGCTCCCAGCGCAGCCAGGCCTGCTGGGAGGGAGGCCCAAGACTCCGGTATTCAGATGTCACGGGGCCGGCCTCCAGGGCAAAGACCAGTCTTTAGGGGAAATAAAGCCTCCTCTGAGGCCTCGGATCCTCACAGTCCCCAGCCTGACAGCAGCAGCGTGAACCAGCCATGGGTTCTCAGGTTCAGTCTCACACCCTCCACACACTCAACACTTACTAAGGGCTGCGGAGAGCTGCTGCTTACGTGAATTTTATCTACTGATATTTTACAGTATTGGAAATTACAACTGAGAAACTTAAAATATGTAAAGTGAACAATAAACAAATGAACATGTTAACATAAATGACATTTTTATTAAAAACCACAACAACTTTCTAATCAACAAAGTCAACGAGAAGGGTGCATCGTTTCACGTGTTTGCAGGTTTCTTCATGTCAGCAACATGGAGGACAGCTGGATTCTCGAATCTGCTCTTGCATTCTATTTGCCAAGTGCCACGCTTCATATAGCCCCTGAGAGACTGATCATGAATATAGGGGTCATATTGTAGTAGAATTGTGAAAATAATCGTGTCCTTGTAGGCCCAAGCCCTTGAAAGGGCTTGGGTACACCGGGTTCCCTGGACTCACTTGAGGACTGCCGGCATCCCCCCTTGATGGCGGGCCCTCTACCTGGATGACCATTCTGCCTCACCCTGTATTTGCAGCAGGCCCTTTCATGGATCCCCTAATTTTAGAGTATCTTGACTAATTTCCCCCATCTGGGGACGAATCAGTCCTGCTCCCTGCTGGTCTGGTGGTGCATCTGGAAGATGACTTGAGGACACAGGGAGAGTCCTGTGGCCAGGCCATGGCGTCTGCTCTGGTTCCACTGGGGTCAGTTGGCCCCATGGGTGGGCCACTTGAGGGTCTCCCGGGCTGTCCCCGCCGTGCCCTCTGCTCGGCTTAGCAGACTCACTTCCTATTTGGCTCTTGGTTTGCCACCTAGCACTTCCTCTCAGCCCACGCTTCTCCCAAGCCTCTGGCTGAGACAGGACGTTGCTCTGCTGAGAGAAGAACATTGTCACAGGAAAAATAAGGCTTTTTAATGATTTTGTCTCCGTCCCCCTCCAGGGCCCCGCCCCAGCCCCTGGCCCCTGCCTCAACCTCAGTGAGCTTGAGAGGGGGCAGCAGCTCCCTGTGTGGCCTTCTTGGCACCTTCCTCCTCCAGGAGAGGCCCCTCTTCCTATAGGGCCTTCCCGCCATGATGGTGGGCACCTGCCTCCCCGGTTCTCCTCGTCCTGTCAGCTCTCCCCTCAGCCACTGTTCCTTCTGGCCTTGCCCAGGGTGTTCTCTCCAGCCAGAAGCAGGGCCTGCAGCCTCAGGATGTTTATCTAGTGAGGTTTTCCTGGAAAAATAAGCACATTTGCCCACTTCAGTTCCATGGCTTTTTCGCTTCCCCACTCATACCGCACACGCCCATGTGCACGAGCACATTCCACGTGCTCCAAGTGAAACCTTCTTCTTCCCTGCAGACATTACGTAAGCCCTTACTTAGAGCCACACAACAGACCTGTGGACTTTGCAGTCTACAGAAGTCCTGCCAGCTCCCCACCGGGCACGCTCACACTTCGCTGAGTATGGCTCTGTGGGTCCCTTAGGGTGTGTTCCAAGACCTCCCATCAGCCCCACGCCCCACCCATGAGCCACTCGGTTCTGCCCTGTGTTTGTACCTTCTTGAGTTGGGCCATGCTTCCCCACCCCTCCACTCACCTTCCCCTGCTGGCTAACGGTCCATTCACCCTGCGGAGCCAACTCTTGCCTCTCTAGGGTGACAGGTGCTCTCTCATCTGCACACTGATGACCTGGGCATCATGCCCCTTTCCCTCTGAGGAGACTTCACATATGAAGCTGACTCCATTATCCCCGACATCACCCATCTCCTAAGATGTCCCCCGCATCACCTTATTGATTGGCTGGCTGGCTAACCAACCTCCCCACTTGGCTAGTATTTATTTTGCTTGGTTCAGTGTATAGTCACTGGTGGAGTTTTAACTGCCGTTTAAACCGTAGCTGCTGTATGGGAGTTTTTCTCCTGTTAACACTTAGGTCCTGTTACTTTTGTTTTTCTTCCCTCCAGCGCTTGACCACATCCCATCCTGGGGAGCAGAGGGAGACGGTTCTGCAGGCGTACATCAGCAACGACCTCCTGGACTGTCATAGCCACAACCAGGTGGGTAAGAGGTGGGCAGAGGTCAGCCAGGGCCTGCGGTCCTCGGGACTGACCTTAGCAGGTGGGGAGCTTCTGTTTCCTTGGGCGTCAGCCTTGACCCTGTGAGCTGGGGAGTCTGAGTTTGCTTCTAGCGAGGAGTCCTGAACGAGTTAGCAGGACCTGCTTCATTCTTCTCCGCGGCTCCTTCTGTCGTTTTCTTTTTCTCCAATTCTCAACTCTTTCCCTCCTCCCGCTGCTTACCGTGAGTCCTGAAAACGGAGCGCGACTCAGGGTGCACAGACAGGGAAGCAGATTCAGGCCGTCTAACCTCCTGGTGCTTCCGGTTGTGCCCTGGCCTTTCCCCTAGAAGGAAACACTGTCCTACCTTTAAATCTTGTGGTAAACACACATCACATAAAATTTACCTTCCTAACCACTTTAAACGTTGAGTGGTGTTAGATACAGTCATGATGGTAAGTCGCCACCCCCGTGCGTCTCCATGAGCAGCTCTTTTCACTTTATAATACTGACCCTGTGCCCATTAAGCAACAGCTCCTCTTCCCCTCTCCCCCGGCCCTGAAACCACCATCCTGTGCTCTGTCCCCATGATTTGGACCTCATATAGTATTGGGGTTTTTTGTGACTGGCTTGTTTCACTTACCATAATGTCCTTGAGGTTTATTCATGTTATTATTCAGGTATATATCAGAATTTCTTTCCTTTTAAAGGCTAGATTATCATATTCCATGTATTAGCCTTACAATCCTCATTTTGCTTATCCATTCATCCATCAACGGACACATGGGTTTCTTTCTCCTTTTGGCTGCTGAGAACAGTGCTGTTACAAAATGGATGTTCACATCCTGACTTTGGTGTGAATCATTTCCTGCTTGTCTTTATAGTTTCCCACCATCCCTGAGTCCTGCATGTGCCGTCTGACTTTGTGCTGAGCAGCAGGCACAGACCCTGCTCTGCAGGGAGGTGGAGCTGTGCTCAGGTTAGATGGGGGCACTGGGAGAAGGTGGCATGAATGGATGGTTGGATAATAGTGGGGCACAGCTTTCCCGGGCACTTACTGATCCCCTCTGGGGACATTAGTAGGCAGGGTCAGGAGAGAGTCCTGGGAAGCAGGGCATGTGGCAGGATGGAAAGGCCAGCCAGGTACTAGTTGTCCAGCGATAGTATACATGGGTATATGGCAGAGAAAGCCAGTGCTGAGCTCTCGGTATTTTGGCTTTTTTTTTTTTTCTTTTTTTGAGGCAGAGTCTCACCCTGTTGGCCAGGCTGGTCTTGAACTCCTGGGCTCAAGTGATCCTCCTGCCCCTGCCTCCTTAGTAGCTGGGATGGGACTACAGAACATGCCACTTTGTATTTCAGCCTTTAAGCTCGCTGGTCTGCTTCTGGTTCTCAGGATTTGATTTTGTGAGAACCCTTCTGTGGGGTGGAAAGACTGTCCACAGCTGTCCACACTGCAGGTGTGGGGGGAGGAGGGGCGCCTCTCCGGGTCTTGGTTCTGAGCTCTTTTTCTGAAGCATTTAGCTCCCTGTTTAAAAGTCACCCTGGTGCACTGCTTTGGAATACCTGTGGCGTTTACTGAGACTGCACAGCTTATGTCTAGCAAACCACTTCTAGGTGTACTCCAACAGAAACGGGTCCATGTGTTCACTCAGAAATGTCCAAGATCAGTCACGGTGGTGCAGGCCTGTAATCCCAGCTGCTCAGGAGGCTGAGACAGGAGGATCTCATGTTCAAAGCCAGCCTCAGCAAAAGCAAGGCCCTAAGCAACTCAGTGAGACCCTGTCTCTAAATAAAATACAAAATAGGGCTTGGGATGTGGCTCAGTGGTCGAGTGCCTCTGAGTTCAATCCTAGGTGCCCCTCTGCAAAAATAAGTCCAAGAGTGGTACTGCTTTATAAGATCCCAAACGCTTGATGCAACCCAAATGTCTATCAACAGTAGGAATGAATGTCTGTGATAGATTTGCGACATGGGGTTCAGAGAGCAATGAGAAGGAGCACAGAGAGAACATGGGTGAATCTCACAAACCTGAAAAAAAAAAAGTTGGGTGAAAAGGTCAGGCATGAAAGAATATACAAAATATGATTTCATTTGTGAAAAATTCGAAAACATGCAAAATAAATCTGTGGCAGAAGAAGCCAGGAAAGAAATGTCTCCCTCAGTTTGGAAGGGGGTCCTGAGGCTATAATAATGTTCTGCCTCTTGACCTGGCTACTTGTCACCCACATGTTCACTGTGGAAACTCACAGAGTTCTGTACTTATGACCTGTGCCATCTTCTATATAATTGTTAGACTACAATAAAAAGTAAATATAGAATGTGTACAGGAAGCAGGAGATGAAGCCCTCAATGCAGTGTCCTCGAGTCACCTCTGTTCCCTGTGGGCTGTGGCCCTTTTCATGTGCCTCAGAGCTGTCATCCAATCATCTCCGCACCCAACTCCAGCCATTGTCCCCTCTCTCCGGTATCGCCCTCTTCCTTGACTTGCTCTCTCAGTTGGTGGAGCGCATCCTTTAGTCATAGTCCCTACACGGAGACCACCTGGCAGTTTGGCTTTTGAGATTGTGCCTGAATGAAAATATCTTTGTTTTTTGTGTAGAATTCTGGGTTGTAAATAAATTTTCTGTAGAATTTGGGGACATTTGCTGGTTGTGGTGGCACATGCTTATGATCGTAGCAACCTGGGCATCTGAGACAGGTGAATCCCAAGTCTAAGGCCAGCCTGGGCAACTTAGAACCTGTCTCAAAATATAAAGGGCTGGGAATGTAGCTCAGTGGTAAACTTCCCTTGGGTTCACTCCCCCCCAAAAAAAGAATTTTGAAGACATTACTTTGTTGTCTTTGGGTTCCAGTTTTGTTTCGTTTTGTTTGTATACTGGGTATTGAACCCAGGGTGCCCTACCACTGAGCTACACTCCCAATCCTTTTTATTTTTTGAGATAGGGTCTTGCTAAGTTGCTGAGGCTGGCCTTGAACTGCAATTCTCCTGCCTCAGCCTCCCTATTAATGGGACTACAGGCATGTAGACCACCGTCCTAGAACCTTAGGGGTCCAGTTTTTTTTTTTTTAAATCTTTATTTTATTTATTTATTTTTTTATGTGATGCTGAGGATTGAACCCAGTGCCTCGCGCATGCGAGGCAAGTGCTCTACCACTGAGCCACAACCCCAGCCCAGGGTTCCAGTTTTGTTGTTGAGAATCCAAAGTCATTCTGATTCCTGATCTTTTGTATGTGGTCTTTTTTCCTCTCTAGAAGCACATGGGAGCATGGTGAGTCTTCTCTTTATCACCACAGTTCAGAGGTCCCCCTGGATGTGCTTCATGAAGTGCATTTTGGTCCCTTGTTGTGGGCCCTTTGAATCTGATAGTTTTATTTCTGGGAATTTTCTTTATTTTGTTGATGATTTTTTTCCTCTGTTTTCTCTTTTCCTAAATGTCAACCCTTCTGAACTGTTGTTTTGTTAATTTTTCTCTCATATTCTCTATCTTTTTCTTTTTGTTGTACTTTCTAGGAGGTTTCTTTGTTTATGTTTTCCATAGTTCCTGTTGAGTTTTTTGTTAACTCAGAGCATTTGCTTCTTTCCTGGATACAATACAGTTTCTTATGTCTCGAGGTATTGGTGACAAAGTTTTTATTTAGTTTTGGTTCTCCCCTCGCTCACAGTCTGGTCTCCAGGGAGGCCCCCTCTTTGGCTCTGTTTTCCATGTCAGAGCCTTTCCTCTGGCTCAGCTCCACTGAGGAGAGCTGGGGGGCCATGGGCTGGGAGCCACTGATTTCAGTCTCTAGTTCTTTGCCCTGGGGTGGTCACTTTCCTCCGAGAAGAGTCTCCTCGTGTCCTGCAGAGAGGTAAGGATCTGGTTGCCAGAGTCAGGGTCTGGGAGCCAAGTCGGGGGGGGCAGCTTTTTCATTCTTTATTTAGACACCCCCCTCCATTTGGTGCAGAACCTAGCCCCCCTGAGCCTACTGTCCCCAGTCCAGAGACCCTCTATGCCACCCTCACATAAGAACACCCCTGTGCCCCTGCACCACCCTTGGAGGTGACAGGAGCAGCATGGAGTCCAGCTGCTTCTTTAACACTTTTCACTCATTTGTCTGGTTCCCCCAGTCCGTTGGCCTTTTGGGGAGTACGCAGTGGAACTTGGGTGCTTCCCCCTTGCCCACTGTGGCCTTGGGTCTGGTGTTCCAGGCCTGCATTGCCACTTTTAGAGTAGCGTTGACATTTTTC